TCCATCCACCCATCATCAATAGTTTCACCACCCATCCATCATCTTTCAATCAATCATCAATGGTTTCTCCATCCCTCAATCCATCATCAATGGTTTCTTCATCCTTCAATTAAGTATCAATACTTTCTCCATCCTTCCATCCATCATCAATGGTTTCTCCATCCATCATCAATAGTTCCACCACCCATCCATCATCTTTCAATCAATCATCAATGGTTTCTCCATCCATTCTTCCATCCATCATCAATTTCTCCACCCAACCACCCTTCCAGCCATCCATCATCAATGGTTTTTCATCCATCATCAATAATTTGACCACCCATCCATCATCTTTCAATCAATCATCAATGGTTTCTCCATCCATCCATCAATCAATCATCAATGGTTTCTCCATCCTTCGATCCATCATCAATGGTTTCTCCATCCATCATCAATAGTTTGACCACCCATCCATCATCCTTCAATCAATCATCAATGGTTTCTCCATCCCTCAATCAATCACCAATGGTTTCTCCATCCTTCCATCCATCATCAATGGTTTCTTCATCCCTCAACCCATCATCAATGGATTCTCCATACTTCAATCAATCATCAATAGTTTCTCTATTCCTCAATCCATCATCAATGGTTTCTCCATCCATCATCAATAGTTCCACCACCCATCCATCGTCTTTCAATCAATCATCAATGGTTTCTCCATCCTTCCATCCCTCATCGATAGTTGCTCCATCCCTCAATCCATCATCAATGGTTTCTCCATCCATCATCAATAGTTTGACCACCCATCCATCATCTTTCAATCAATCATCAACGGTTTCTCCATCCCTCGATCAATCATCAATGGTTTCTCCATCCCTCAATCAATCATCAATAGTTTCTCCATCCATTCTTCTATCCATCATCAATGGTTTCTCCATCCCTCAATCAATTATCAATACTTTCTCCATCCTTCAATCCATCATCGATGGTTTCTCCATCCATTCTTCCATCCATCATCAATGGTTTCTCCATCTATCCATCATCCTTCAATCAATCATCAATGGTTTCTCCATCCATCATCAATAGCTCCACCACCCATCCATCATCTTTCAATCAATCATCAATGGTTTCTCCATCCCTCAATCAATCATCAATAGTTTCTCCATCCATTCTTCTATCCATCATCAATGGTTTCTCCATCCCTCAATCAATCATCAATGGTTTCTCCATCCATCATCAATAGCTCCACCACCCATCCATCATCCTTCAATCAATCATCAATGGTTTCTCCATCCTTCAATCAATCATCAATAGTTTCTCCATCCCTCAATCAATCATCAATGGTTCCTCCATCCATCCCTTCCCCTTCGATATTTTTTTTCCATCTTTCCATCCCTTTTCACTATTTTTTTCCATCAATCTATCCTTCGATGTCTTCTCCGTCCACTTTTTCACCCCTTTCTCTACCTATTTTCGGTGATTTCTTCATCCCATCTTCTACTTTTTCACACATTTTTAATTTTTCATGAAATTTTGTGATCTCAGATGGTTTCTCCTTCCACCATCTCCCATCCTCCTCCACCTGGTGGTCCCCCATCCCCTCTCCCCACCACGTCCCCCCCCCCTTGTCCCCTCACCTGGAGACAGGTCCCGCCGCAGCAGCGCTCGGTGGGGGACGCAGGTGACACCGGGGCGGCAGCCGGAGCCCTCGACGCACCACGGAGCTGCAGGAGATACGGGAATTAGGTGGGGACGTGGCCTGGAGGAGGGACACGGCGGGGGGAGGACGCGTGAGGAGGTCGTGGATGGAGAAGGAGATGGAGGACGTCACGGGTGCGTTGGGGACATCGCACACGGGGATGTCACGGGTGGACAGAGAGGTGGAGAACGTCGTGGAGGAACACCAAGAGGTGGAGAGAGGAACACCAAGAGGTGGAGAACATCATGGAGGGACACCAAGAGATGGGGACAAAAACACCAAGAGGTGTAGAACGTCGTAGAGGAACACCAAGAGATGGGGAGAGGAGCACCAAGAGATGAAGAACATTGTGGAGGGACACCAAGAGGTGGAGAATATTGATGGAGGAACACCAAGAGGTGGAGAATGTTGATGGAGGAACACCGAGAGATGGAGAGAGGAACACCAAGAGGTGGAGAACATTGTGGAGGAGCATCAAGAGATGAGGAGAGGAACACCAAGAGGTGGAGAACATCGTGGAGGAACACCAAGAGATGGGGAGAGGAACATCAAGAGGTGGAGAACGTTGTGGAGGGACACCAAGAGGTGGAGAACGTTGATGGAGAGATACCAAAAGGTGGAGAATATTGATAGAGGAACACCAAGAGATGGAGAACATTGATGGTGGAACACCAAGAGATGGAGAGAGGAACACCAAGAGATGGAGAACGTTGTGGAGGAACACCAAGAGGTGGAGAGAAGAACACCAAGAGGTGGAGAACGTTGATGGAGGACATTTTGGAGGGACACATCGAGGACACTGTGGTCATGTAGGCACGTCACGGTTGGTCAGACAGTCGTAGGACACCACGGACGGACAGACACAAAGGGGACATCACGAAGGGCCCCAAAGGGATGTCGTGGTTGGACAGAGAGCTGGAGAACATCACGGATGGACACACGGAGGGACATCAAGGACGGACAGACGCGTAGGGGACACCAGGGTGGGGGACAACGGGGATGTCATGGATGGACCCATGGATGGATCCATGGGGACGTCCTGGCCACGGTGGAGTCCCACACGAGAACCTCCTCGAGAAGATCACCCAAAACACCCCACGGCCACCTCCCACCCCGTGTCCCCGCGGTCCCCAACTCACGGCAGACGCTGGGGACGCGCCAGGGTCCCACGCGGACCTTGGCCTGGCGGCAGGCGGCCTCGTAAGCGCCCAGGACCTCGCTGAGGACCTCCTTGTCCCCGGGGGCTTCGCAGAGCTCCCAGAGGCAGACGTCGAAGAAGACCCTGGGGTGGACCGCGGCGTGACAGCCCCCGAAGGGACCTTGGGGGTCCCGCAGGACGCCGCAGAGCTCGGTGTGGACGAAGGCTTTTTTGGGGGGCTGGCGGCACGGGGGACAGGTGGGTCCGGGGCAGGGACGGTGACACGTGGCCGTGGTGGCCTGGTGGAGGTGGTCGTTGTAGGGGTGGCCGTCGAAGTTGCCGCAGAGGCCGCAGGTGACGTTGCGGAAGCTCGGGGACACGGTGACGGCCACCGCCGCCCCGGGGCCGGCGGTGACGCGGAGGCCGAAGTCGGCCACCAGCAGGGTGGTGGCACCCCGGGGTGCCAGGCACACGGCCTGGCCTCGCAGGCAGAAGGGCAGCGACACCTTGGAGCCGTCCACCTGCGTGGGGTGGGGTGGGGTGGGTTGGAGGCACCCAGTAGGTGCCCAGTCCTACTGGTTCTCCACCCTGGTCCTCGTAGCAGATATTTGTTGTTCTACCACCCACCCCATCTCCTTCATCCATCCAATTTTGTTCCTCCTTTTCATCTTTTCATCTTCTTTTCATCTTTATCTGTCCAACCTTCTCCATCCATCCATCCATCCATCCATCCATCCATCCATCCATCCATCCATCCATCCATCCTTCTCTGTCCATCCCTCCACCTCTGCTCTTCACCCATCCCTTTTCCCAAGTTCTTCTCCCATCCCTTTTTCCAGGTTCTTCATCCATCCATCCATCCATCCATCCATCCATCCATCCATCCATCCATCCATCCATCCATCCATCCATCCATCCATCCACCTCTGCTCTTCACCCATCCCTTTTCCCAAGTTCTTCTCCCATCCCTTTTTCCAGGTTCTTCATCCATCCATCCATCCATCCATCCATCCATCCATCCATCCATCCATCCATCCATCCATCCATCCATCCATCCATCTCTGTTCTTCTCCATCCCTTTTCATGTGCTTCATCCATCCATCCACTCATCCCTTATCTATTCCTCCATCTCTGCCCTTCTCCATCCCTTTTTCCATGTTCTTCATCCACCTACCCATCCTCTTCTCTGTCCATACCTCTACCTCTGTCTTTTTCCATCCCTTTTTCCACGTTTTTCATCCATCCTTCCATCCATCCATCCATCCATCCATCCTCTTCTTCACCCCTTTTTCCACGTTCTTCACCATCCATCCATCCTCCACCCAACCATCCTCTTCTCATTCCATGTTCTTCATCCTCAGCCTTCTCCACCTCCCCACCCTCCCATCCCTCTCTCCACCTCCTCCATCCACCCCCCCACCCATTTTTCCTCCCCCCTCACCCCCTTCTCCACGCCTTCCACCCCTTGCCCATCCCCACCCCTCTCCCCTTCCTCCTCCTCCTCCTCCTCCTCCTCCTCCTCCTCACCTCCACCACGCCGGGGTGCCCACCCCGTAGCACGAAGCGGTGCTGGTGCACGGTGACGGCGACGCTGCGGGGGCCGGGGCCACCCCGGGGTGGGTCGGTGACGGTCACGTCGAAGGCAGGGTGGGCGCCGGGGGGGCCGCAGCTCCGGGCCACCACGTAGGAGCAGTTGTCTGCCACGGCCATGGCCACCCCGTCGAAGCTCAAGTAGTGTTGGGTCCCCACGGCCCGGCAGGTCCCCGGGGTGCCCACGGTGGCCGGTGTTGCCGCCGGCTCCGCCGAGCACCTCTGGGTGCCCCCGTGGGAGTCGTCAGGGGCCACGCAGCCTTCACGGCACCCCGGGGTGCAGCCGGGGGCGCAGATGGCGTAGCGGGTGCCCGCGGGGCACTGGGGGGCTGTGGGGAGAAGGTGGTGTTGGGGGAAGGTCCTCGGTCCCCTCTGGATCCTTGGCTTCTCCTAGGTGCTCTATGGGGTCATGTCCCCATCCCACCAAGACTTTTGGGGTTATAGGGTGCTCTATGGGGTTCTTTTCCCCATCCCACCAGGATTTATGGGGTCTTGGGATGCTCTATGGGGTTATTTCCCCATCCCACCAAGACTTTTGGGGCCCTGGGGTGCTCTATGGGGTTCTTTTCCCGTCCCACCAGGATTTATGGGGTCTTGGGGTGCTCTATGGGGCCATGTCCCCATCCCATTGTGATTTGTGGGGTCTTGGGGTGCTCTATGGGGCCATGTCCCCATCCCACCAAGACTTTTGGGGACCTGGGATGCTCTATGGGGCCATGTTCCCATCCCACCAGGATTTATGGGGTCCTGGGGTGCTCTATGGGGCCATGTCCCCTTCCCATCAGGATTTATGGGGCCCTGGGGGTCCTGGGGTGCTCTATAGGGTTATTTCCCCATCCCACCAAGACTTTTGGGGTCCTGGGGTGCTCTATGGGGTCATGTCCCCATCCCACCAAGACTTTTGGGGCCCTGGGGTGCTCTATGGGGTTCTTTTCCCGTCCCACCAGGATTTATGGGGTCTTGGGGTGCTCTATGGGGCCATGTCCCCATCCCATTGTGATTTGTGGGGTCTTGGGGTGCTCTATGGGGCCATGTTCCCATCCCACCAGGATTTCTGGGGTCTTGGGGTGCTCTATAGGGTTCTTTCCCCATCCCACCAGGACTTTTGGGACCCTGAGGTGCTCTATGGGGTTCTTTCCCCATCCCATTGTGATTTGTGGGGTCCTGGGGTGCTCTACGGGGCCGTGCCCCCCTCCAACCCCTACCCCCCGAGCCCCCCACGAGCCACTTACAGCAGAACCCCTTGGAACGCCACTCCAGGACCTTCCTCCCGGCCTCCTGGCAGGCCGCCACGTAGGCGGCGAGGACGCGGCAGACCCCCTCGCGGTGACACCGGTCGGCGATGCAGTCCCGAAAGTAGGTTTCGGGGTGAACGGCCTCGTGGCACAGCCGGAAGGGCCCCTCCTTGTTCAGCAGCACCCCGCACTCCCTCCCCACCTCTTCTTGCCCCTTCCCCCCGACCTCCCCGCACCCCGCCGCGTCCCCGCACCCCGACGTGTCCCCCACCCGCCACCCCCCTGCCGGCGCCAGGTCGTTGCGGGGGTCCCCGTCGAAGTCCCCGCAGAGCCCGCAGAGGTGGCCGCTGTAGGCGCCCGGCACGCGGATGCTCACCCGCCCGTGGTGCCCGTCGAAGGCCACCCGCAGCCCCCGGGGGGTCCGCACCTCCACCTCCCAGCCCCGGGGCTCCAGGGTCACCGCCGAGGCCTTGGCTGTGTGGGGCAGGAGGGTCGGCACTCCATTCACCTGTTTGGGGGGGGCACAGGGTATAAAGGGAGCCCCCGGAGGGGTCAGAATTGGTTTTTAGCCCTTCTGGAGCCCATTTCCTTGCTACTCATAGTTTACTCACTCGCTACTCCTGGCTTACTCAGTTGTTACTCGTGGTTTACTCACTGAAGCATTCACAAGCTACACACTTGTTGCTCACCATTTTGCTACCTGCCCTCCGAGTCCACTTGTAGTGGGAATCAGACAGGACTGAGCCCTCTTACTGACTACTCTGGGTTTACTCTCTTGCTACTCACTCCCTGATCACCACTTTGCCTCTGGTCCTCCTAAGCAGCTTGTGGCAGGGACTGGACTGGACCAAACCCACTTACTCTCTAGTTATGCTCTCACTACTCGGCACTTCCAGCCAACTAATACATCTCCCTACTTACGACCTTCTCACCCATTATTTACACACTTGCTACTCATTCATTACTCACTCTTCACTATGTCCCCCCCCAGCACCTCCCAGCCAGCTAATATGTCCCTGCTTTCTATTTTACTAACTCACTGCTCATGCTTACTCTTTACTCACTATGCATCCTGTGACACTACTGAGCCAGCTCCTACATCCAGGCCTGCTCTTTTACTAACTCACTACTCATTCAATGCTCATGCTTTACTTCCTACACATCCTTGGGCAACTCTGAGCTGGCTAACATCTTCCGCTTCCCCAGTTTCTTGTCTACTCATGTGTTACTCATTACTCACTTGTTACTCCCCTTGAGAAATCTGGACTGGATTTACTTGGTCTTTACTCATTACGCATCACTTGCCTTCTACTCCCTCTTTACTCATCCCTTGGTTGGTCAACACATCCCTACTTAATCCCAGTTTGTGCAGAAAGTCCTACACAGCATCCAGCCCTTCCCTCCCGGTTTACTCCATCCTCACAACTCCCTCCTTGCGGCCCTTACTCACTCTCCAGCTTCACACTACCACCCCCGCGCTCCTACTCCTCCCTTACTCACCGTGACCCGCCCGGGCTCCAGCTCCACGCGCGTGCGGCGTACCAGGACCTCGGCACCGGTGATGCCACCCAGGCCACCCCGCACCAGGACGCGGAAGGGCTCCGGGCCCTGAGTACCGGGGCAGAGTCCGGCCAGGAGGTAGAGGCAGGAGCCGGAGAAGTCGTGGTGGAGGCGGTCGAAGGTGCGGACGTGGCCCATGCCCAGGGCTGAGCAGGTGGCGGGGTTGGGGACGGGGTTAGGGACCAGGTTGGGGACGGATTTGGGGACGGGGATGGGGTTGGGGATGGGGTTGGGGATGGGGGCACAGGCTCCTGGGGGTGTTTGGGTGAGCAGGAGGAGGCTGTGGGAAGAGAAGAATCGATTATTTGGCTTCTCCTCCTGGAAGGGTTCCTTGGTCCTCCTCCATCCCCTCTTTATCCAATTATCTTTCCTTTTTCACCCAGTTATCTTTCCTTTTTCACTCAGTTATCCTTCCTTTTTCACCCAGTTATCCTTCCTTCTTCACCCTTTCTCCCATCCCTTCAACCTCCTTCACCCATTTCTCCATCCTTTCACCCATTTTCCCCGTCCCTTCAACCTCCACCCAACCCTTCAACCTTTTCACCCATTTCCTCATCCCTTCATTGACCTTCACCCATTTCCTCATCCCTCAACCTCCTTCACCTATTTCTTCATTCCTTTGACCTCCTTCACCCATTTCCTCATCCCTTTGACCTCCTTCACCCATTTCCTCTTCCCTTCAACCTCCTACACCCATTTCTTCATCCCTTCATCTTTCTTCACCCATCTCTTCAACCTCCTTCACCCATTTCCTCATCCCTTCAAAGTCCTTCACCCATTTCTCCATTCTTTCACCCATTTCCCATCCCTTCAACCTCCTTCCCCCCATTTCCTCATCCCTTCAAAGTCCTTCACCCATTTCTCCATTCTTTCACCCATTTCCCCATCCCTTCAACCTTCTTCACCCATTTCCTCATCCCCATTCCCAACTCAACGCCCATCCCCAACCCATTGGCTGTCCCCATCCCAGTCCCCCATTCCCTCCAGACCCTCTAACTGGGGTCCCCGTCCCCAATTAACGTCCCCACGCCCCACTCACAGCACTGTGTCCCCTGTCCCTCGCCGGCCCCCTCCTCAGGATGGGCGCAGAGCCCACAGAGCTGTCCCCGTAGCGTTGCCGGTGCCGTCACCGTCACCGCGCCGTCCCCACCAACGGCCACCCGCACGCCTATGGCCGTGGCCACCCGCCGTTGTCCCCCCCTTCGCTCCAGGCGCACCCGACCCCCTGCCAGTGAGAGGGGCAGGGGGACCCGGGTCCCGGCCACCTGTAAGGGAGGACATTGGCTGGGCAACCCTGGTGAGGGCACCTGGGTCCCTTCCTCAGTCTTGGAAGGGGGATTGAGTGGACCTAGACCCCAAGTTATGGGGTTTTGGGGATGGAAATGGGGTGGGGAGGAGCTGGACACCTGGTCTACCACTCAGTTATGGGGTCTGGGGGCTGGAAAGGGGATGGGGAGGAGCTGGACACCTGGGCCCACCACCCATCTTGGAGTTCTAGGGGGTTGGGAGACCCCAGACACCTGGTTCCCCGCTCCCTCCCAGGGAATAGGGGACACCCCCCTCACACCCCTTGTGCCACCCAGGGCCGAATCCTCACCCTCGCCATCGTCTCCTCGCCTCGGTGCAGGACGACCTCGAAGCCATCACCGCGGAGCGTGACGTGGCTGAAGGAGGCACCCGGTCCCGCGCCAAACTGGCCGCCCGCCGTGACATGGAGGGTGGGCAACTGGGTGCCACAGGTGCTCACCAACGTCTGGGTGCAAGCCCCCGCCAAGCCATAACTCTTCCCATCAAAGGCCCGGTAGCGCCAGCGCCCCAAAACGTGGCAGACGAGTGGGGGCTGCGAGACAGGGAGGCATCTGGGTGAGGATTCCACCATCTTGCACGTTGTCCCCTTCGGGCAGTGCACGTTGTTGCAAGACGCCTTGTCGGGGACGCATTTGGGTGAGTTTTCCACCATTTGGCACGTCGTTCCGGACGGGCAATGCACGTCGTTGCAGGACGGCTCGTTGGGGACGCATTTGGGCCAGTCGTCCACCATCCTGCACGTGCTCCCAGATGGGCAACGCACTTCTTTGCAAGACATCTTGCTGGGCACGCATTTGGGCCAGTCCTCCACCACCCTACACGTCGTTCCGGCTGGGCAATGCATGTCATTGCAGGATGGCTTGTTGGGCACGCATTTGGGCCAATCCTCCACTATCTGGCACGTCGTTCCGGCGGGGCAATGCATGTCGCTGCAAGTTGGCTTGTTGGGCACGCATTTGGGCCAATCCTCCACTATCTGGCACGTCGTCCCCACCGGGCAATGCACCTCTTTGCAGGTTGGTTTGTTGGGCACGCATTTGGGCCAATCTTCCACCATCTGGCACGTGGTCCCGGCCGGGCAGCGGACGGTGCTGCAGGAGGGCTTGTTGGGCACGCACGTTGGCCAACCACCCTCCACTTGGCACGTGGTGCCCTCGGGGCAGCGGACGGCGCCGCAGGTGGGCTGGTTGGGCATGCACTTGGGCCAGCCCTCCACCATGTGGCACGTGGTCCCTTCCAAGCAGTGCACTGTGTCGCAGGTGGGCTTGGGGGGCACGCAGCGGGGGACGCCCTCCACCACTTGGCACGCGGTGCCGGATTTGCAGGAGACGCCGGTGCAAGACGCCGCGGGCGCGCTCCTCACCATCCGCACGCACTTGGGCCAGCCTCGCACCACCCGGCACGCCATCCCACTCGGGCACTGCAGGTCCCCGCACGAGGGGATGCGGACACAGCGGGGCCACCCGTTGAGGAGCTTGCAGCCCATCCCCGCTTGGCAGTGGAGGTTCTTGCACGAAGGTCGGGAGACGCAGGTGGGGTGGCCGTGCACCACCATGCAAACGGTGCCGGGCTTGCAGGCAAAATTCTGGCAGGACGCAAGGGTGGCAGCGCAGTGGGCACCACTGCAGGACGAGGGGATGGGGGAGACCCCAGCGGAAATTTGGGGGGCGGAAGCAGGGTGACCCCAGGGTGCAGAGCGGAAGAGGGGATGGCTGGGAAGACACTGGGGCCAACCCTCTGTCATCGTGCAGGCCGTGCCCTTGGGACACTGGATGTCATTGCAGGAGGGTTGGGTGTAGACGCACTGCGGCCACCCATCGTTCACCTTGCACGTGGTCCCCTTTGGACACTGGAGGTCCCTGCAAGACGGTCTACGAATGGAGGTCTTGAGTTGCACACACCGGGGCCAACCATCAACCATCTGGCAAGCTGATCCCTTCTGGCATTGGATGTCACTGCAGGAGGGACGGCTTTGCACACACTGGGGCCACCCCTGCAGCATCTTGCACGAGGTCCCTTTGGGACAGTGGATGTTGTTGCAGGATGGTAGCCTCACGGTGGTCTTGGTTTGCACACATCGGGGCCAACCATCAACCATCTGGCACGCGGTTCCCTTCTGGCACTGGATGTCACTGCAGGAGGGACGATTTTGGACACATTGGGGCCAGCCGTTGATAATATTGCACGTGGTTCCTTTGGGACAGTGGACATCGTTGCAAGAAGGCCGTCTTGGGGAGATCTTGGTTTGGATGCATCGGGGCCAACCATCCACCATCTGACACGTGGTTCCCTTCTGGCATTGGATGTCACTGCAGGAGGGACGACTTTGGACGCATTGGGGCCATCCGTTGAACACAGAGCACGTAGTCCCTTTAGGGCACTGGATGTCCTTACAAGTAGGTTGTCTCTGAACACACCGTGGCCAACCATCTACAATCTGGCACACGCTTCCCTTCTGGCACTGGATATCGTTGCAGGATGGTTGTCTGCGGACACACTGAGGCCACCCGAGTAGCACCTTGCACACGGTCCCTTTGGGACACTGGATGTCCCTGCAAGAAGGTTTTCTCGGGGCCATCTTGACTTGGACACACTGGGGCCAACCATCTGCCATCCTGCATGAGGTCCCTGTAGGACACTGGAGGTCGTTGCAAGTTGGCTGGTGCTGAACACACCTTGGCCAACCATCCACCATCTGGCACACGCTTCCTTTCTCACACTGGATGTCGTTGCACGATGGTTGTCTGTGAACGCACTGAGGCCAACCAAATAGTATCTTGCACGTGGTTCCCTTGGGACATTGCACATTGTTGCAAGAAGGCCGTCTTGGGGAGATCTTGGTTTGGACACACCGGGGCCAACCATCAACCATCTGGCAAGCTGATCCCTTCTGGCATTGGATGTCACTGCAGGAGGGACGGTTTTGCACACACTGGGGCCAACCGTTGACAATATTGCACATGGTCCCCTTGGGGCAGTGGACATCACTGCAGGTGGGTTGGCTGTGGACGCACTGGGGCCACCCCTGCAGCATTTTGCACGAGGTCCCTTTGGGACACTGGATGTTGTTGCAGGATGGTAGCCTCACGGTGGTCTTGGTTTGCACACATCGGGGCCAACCATCAACCATCTGGCATGCAGATCCCTTCTGGCATTGGACCTCATGGCAGGAAGGCTGGGTGTGGACACACCTGGCCCACCCATCTGTGATCCTACACGTGGTCCCCTTTGGACATTGGATATCTTTGCAGGAGGGTTTGTCGTGAACACATTGAGGCCACTCATCTCTCAAACTGCATGTGGTCCCCTTGGGGCATTGGACATCGCTGCAAGAAGGTTTCCTAATGGAGGTCTTGACTTGGACACACCGGGGCCAACCATCGACCATCTGGCACGTGGTTCCCTTCTGGCACTGGATGTCACTGCATGATGGTGCGTTGTGGACACAGTGGGGTTGTCCATCTGCCATCCTACACGTGGTCCCTTTGGGACACTGGATGTCCTTGCAAGACGGTTGCCTCACCAAGGTCTTGGTTTGAACACACCGTGGCCAACCATCAACCATCTGGCACACGGTTCCCTTCTGGCATTGGATCTCACTACAGGAAGGTGGGTTATGGACACATTGTGGTTGACCATTGAGCAAGTTGCATGTGGTTCCTTTGGGACAGTGGACATCGTTGCAAGAAGGTTGCCTGATGGATATCTTGGTTTGCACACACTGGGGCCAACCATCAACCATCTGGCACACTGCTCCCTTCTGGCACTGCACATCATGACAGGAGGGCACTTTGTGGACACAGTGGGGTTGCCCATCTGCCATCTTACAT